GACTTTATATTGCCAGCTAATATTTTAATAATTTTAAAATAATTTCCACCTACAGTTGAAATAACAAATGCAGAACCCACAGAAGTGGAGGACTGCTTTTAAACATTTTATAGATAATCTAACTTTTCATTAGCCCAATAGTTTATCATAACACAGACATTTAAATACAAATTACATAGTAATCCTTTATGAACAGACCAAAAGGCTCCATTAAGCTGAGACATCAGCACTAAATACAAATTGGTACGATACCTACTCGAGTGGCATCCACTTCTTAAATAGCATGCCTCCAGAAGCCCTGTGAACTCTGATAAATGTCTACAGTTGTAGAGGGGCATCGTGCTCAACTCGAAGGCAATCAACAACAACCATACCAACTATCTCTTTAACTGACATTCCACATTACAACAGTAAAAAATAAAATATATAAATTTATTTTGCACATTAATCATGTATAGCTGGTAGCTGTTGTTATTGTTCTGTGTCATCAAGTCGTCAACGACTCAGCGATCCTATGGACAACAGCTTTGAACTGTGCCCTATCCTATGCCAGCCTCACCATTTCTGACACAGCTGTCTCCATTGCCACAGTCACTGTGTCAATCCATCCTATCCAGAGTCTTCCTTCCCTGTGCTAACCCTCTACCCTTCCAAGCATGATGTCTTTCTCCAAGAAACGGTCCCTCCTACAAACATGCCCAAAGTATGGGAGACAGAGCTTTAAAATCCTTGCCTCAAAGGAGCAACCTGGTTTCACCCTATCCAGGACAGACCTGCTTGCTCTTTTGGCAGTCCGTAATATGTTCAATACTCTTCTCCAGGACCACAACTCAAAGCATCAATTCTTCTTTTTCACTGTCTCGGGTGCACAGCAAGAAACTAAGAAGGCCATGACCTGGGTCAGGCGCACTTTAGTCTCTAACTAAGCATCACTGCTCTTCTTGAATGCCAAAAGGCAAGGCAAAAGTAACGCTGTCTGTGATTGTTATGGTTACATGCAACTCAACAGGGCCACAATTCTCAGTGTTTTGACAGTTTGTGATGATGTAATTCTCCTCCATTTTCATAAAATGCTGATTTTGCAAAAGTGACCTGGGTTTTGGAATCCAACTATAGCAAAAATCAAAAGCAAGTGTATTTTTTCTAGTTTTAACATAAACATCTTAAATCAAGCAACTCTGATTCCAAAATCATATTCTAATTTGTTAGTCTTATGACAACTTTCTCTACTAATGACACGTTTCCATTATCAACTGTTACTTCAAATATTTTTTCCTTAAATAGAGTTTTATCCATACAAGTTTTACTTCCATACCTCTGAAGAGCTTTCATTATTGACATCCACAGTATTTATAGGAGTTCCTGATGAATCTAAATCAGAACCTTGAGAACCCACTCTCCCAGGAGTCTGAAACAAAACAGAAGACAGAAAATACAATCAAAGTAGGTATTAACAATATATTTATAAGTGATTTAATAAACAAGAAATAATGTAATCTTACACATAAGAATAAGCAGATGCTTAGACAAAAATAACAAATAAAACTAATAGTTAAGATTGACCCTACCTAAACTGTACCCAGATCTCTGCAAGTGTTCTCAATTTTCATGCTTTTAAATCAATTAAAATGTTTCTATTTCTATATAATGTTATAGTCTTCCACCTACATTCCAAAACCATTCAAAAACTCATCAAAATGTCTCTGAGAGAGGTGGAGCAAGTGTTACAGGTGAGGAAATAGTTTAAAGACATAACTATTTGTTCAAGATCCAAATGATAACAAAAATCGACAGAAATAGAACAGAAAGGTTTACATCTTGATTTATTTTTTCCTTTCACATTGCTATCCCGTAAGAAACTGTTGCCCACCCAAATGAATGAAGTTTTAATCTACCAGGTGCTCTGTCAGAGAAAAATGGGCAACCTCCTCTTATGTGATTTATTGCCTCTGAAAGCCTACTAGAGAGTAGCCACTGGAACTGTGGCTCAGTTACAACTTGATGGTACACAATTATCACACAAGCAAAACTGTAATGCTTTGGAGGGTGCTAGTCCATATGCTATTAACCCAAAGATCCTGACTCTCTATGGTTCAAATCCACCAGCTATGTACAATCTCCTCCTTTACCATCTACAGCTGCTACAAGAGACAAAAAAGAGAGTCAGGTATGAGTCAGTTCCCATTTAGTTATAATAAGAAAAAGAGACCAATAATAACCATATTATAAACTGACTGACAGTATATGTGCCATTCACTTATTCATCATCCATGCCAACCACTATTAATTAGCCTCTCTCTAATACTTGCTGGTGCCGTCAGATACATTTATTGAAGGTTGTTAGTTGTCATCATGTTGATTCTCACTCATGGAACCTTTATGTACAGAACAGAAATTTGTCCCACAGAGTTTTCAAGTCTAAAATTGTTCAGAAACAGTAACTGCCTTTTTCTTCCTGTAATATTTTTCATCACTTTATCATTCACTAATTCATTAGTCAGCAATACCCAATTATGACCACAACTGAACTGGAAATCTGGTAAAACATTGAGTAAAAAGTCAAATTCAGAACACAATGATTGATCCAATAATCCTCACCAGCAATATATATAGAATATATATCATTGTTCTCACCTACTCAAGAGAAAAGTGAAGACACAGAGACTAAGGAACTTCCAAAAGGTTAATTATTTGAAGAAAGGATTTTAACTAGACAGCCTGGCCCTTAATAACTGATACTACTTCTCTGTTAGGCATCTCCACTGTGAAACACTTAAAACATTCAAGATCAAGAATAACTTGGTACACATTTGCTTCAACACAGTAATTATAAATGTCGAATAAGGATGCTTTTATACAACTCTGAGATTCCTAATAGAGGTTATAAAAACTGCATGGAATAGAAAACACACATACATTTTATGTAAAAACTACTTAAAAAACAAAATAAAGGAAATATCCCAGAGTGCAAATGATCTCCCTAGCAACATGAAGTTTTGAGTGTTTTGGTTTATATGCCTTTATTTGAGCTACTTTATTTTCCCTATTTTAATATTTTTTTTTCTTTTTCCAGAATCCAGATAACCTTTCATTTGATATTTGTTTTACCAGCAAAAAAGGCAAGTCAAAATACTGCTTTACAGAGTTATAGTTCTACCACTAAAAGTGCCTTCCCTCAAATTCATTTGAAATAGTTCTAGTAAAAAGAGAACTAAGGACACTCAGGAGACAAGGTGTAAAGGGAGGGAAAAAAGTAAAACCATCATAAAACATCATTCTAAGCATTATTCCTCTACTTCTGAATCGTCTAAGGACTTCTTCTGTTCTCAAGTCACAAAAATTCCATTACTTCCATGAGGAGGCCAATAATACTAGCACTGACACTGAAGAAATAATAAAAAGAATTCTAATTTTTCCACTTATACAAGTTTTCTTTTGCCAAAATAATAGAACAAATAATTTCTACAAAAAATTTAAAGCAATAGGGAGATATCTAACAACATAATCTTCTAGAAGAAGTATTGCATAAATTTGGATATTTTATAGTGACCAAAAAGTACATAATACTGTCTTGGATAAGGTGAAACCAAGTTTCTCCTTGGAGGCTAGGACTCTGAAGCTCTGTCTCAGATACTTTGAGTTCATTGCTAGAAGAGACTGGTCCTTGGAGAAGAACATCATGCTTGAAAGGGTGGAGGAACAGCACAGGAGAGAAAAATCCCAGATCAGATGGATTGATAAAATAGCTGGGGCAATAAAGGTTAATTGAATTAAAGAGATCAGCTCAGGACAGGGCAGGGTTCAGAGCCGCTGTAAATAGAGTCACAATGGGTTGCAGGCAACTCAATGGCACATAACAACAATATATTCATTTTCCATGAAGTGCTGAGCATTTTACAAGGTTTGGAAGGGAAATTGGAGCATTTGTGGTATGAAGACAATGCAACAGAGAAAACAAGGGCCATGCATTCATAGACTATAACATCTGGCTGAAGAAAATAAACCTAAGTAGGTTGTTATGTGTGTACCAATGAGTTGGAACCAACCCATTGCTGACGATTCAGCGTGTTTTCAGAGGCTATATATTACACAGGAGGAGATGGCCAGCTTTGTTGTGCTTAGCAGCTGGAGGATTCTAGTTGGCAGTACAATTCCCTAGCACACGGCCACCATAGCGCCCCTAAACTAATGTACAGTAGGAAACAACTTGAAAATGTAAATCTTACATTGAGAGCACTGTAAAGGATTAACTTTGCTCTTTGTTTCAATCCCTAGGATGTAATCTCTAAATTCTTGGAGTGTCTTGCCTAACAAGAATGTCTTTTAATGAAGTTTATAGTCCTTGGTTTTAGTACTAGGTACATAACCCACTTTGAATTGGTTTTTTGTGTATGGAATGAGGTGTGGATCTTGCTTGAGTTTTCTGCAGATAGTATTCCAATGTTGCCAGCACCATTTGTTAAAAAGGCTATCGTTTCCCACACTTAAAGAAAACCTTGTAAGAATTCTAGAAGTCCTAATCCACAACATAAACAGTCTTCCAAGCATCCTGGAAAATCTACAACCATGAGAGGATAAAATAGACGAATGGGACCTTCTAAGAATGAAATCCCTATGCACATCCAAAAACTTCTCCAACAGGGTAAAAAGGGAAGCCACAGATTGGGGAAAAAATAATTGGTAATGACATGTCTGACAAGGGACTTTTATCTAAAATTTATAAAATACTCGAGTACCACAACAAGATAAAAGTAAATAACTCAACTGAAAAATGGGCACATGATATGAACAGACACTTCACCAAAGAAGACATTCAGATGGCCAACAAGCACATGAAGAAATGTTCAAAATCGCTAGCTCTAAGAGAGATGCAAATCATAACAACTATGAGATATTATCTCACCCCAGTAAGAATAGCAAAATTTAACAGAACAGCAAATATCAAATGCTGGCAAGGTTGTGCAGAAACTGGAACACTTATTCACTGTTGGTGGGAGTGTAAAATGGTACAACCACTATGGAACACAGCATGATGCTTTCTCAAAAAGTTGCAAATAGAAATACCATTTGACCCAGCAATTCCACTGCTGGGAATATACCCTAAGGAAACCATAGATGCCACCCAATCAGATACATACACACCCATGTTTATTGTGACTTTGTTCACAATAGCAAAGAGCTGGAAACAATCCAAATGCTTTCAACAAATGAACGGATGGAGCAACTATGGTATATTCACACAATGGAATACTATGCAGCATTGAAAAACAAGGAACTCATGAAATATTATGCAAAATGGATGACCCTAGATGACATTATGCTGAATAAAATATCTCAGTCACAAAAGGACAAATATTGCAGAGGGCCACTGTTGTAAAACAGAATTGACATCAGGGTTAAGGGAAGACAGAAAAGGTGGGGAGGAATTATGTATATTGCACTGAAAACAGATGAGACAGAACAGTTTAAAAAAGATATATGAATGGGTATTCTTTTCATTACAGAAGTCAAGAGTGAAGGCTGTACTTGGGGGGAGGGATTGCATAACAATGAAAGAGTTTTTCTTTTCAAGGAGAAGAGTGAATTGGGGGGGAGGGAGTGGACAGAGAGCAGAGGGCAATAATGAATGACAGGAAATCCTAAGTCTCTATAAACTTTCATTAAAATTAATTTTAAAAAAAGAATGTCTTTTGCTAACTAGAGCACTGCGTCATACCAGATAGTCTGTGCAACAATACTATTTATATACATTATGCACATACCACATGAGGGGTTAGAGATTAAGATTACTAACATGATGACAATAACCATGTCTATATGACCCAGAAACAATGAAAATTCTGGACACCAAGGCTTAGATGCATTTCTCTTGTCAATAAATTCCATGTGAATTATTTTAACACTGTCATTGACAGAAGTAAGCATAATCTTCAGAATTTCAATGGAAGAATACAATGGAATTCTCAAGGACCCTGGCCTACAATTATTACATTTTTTTAACTTATATTTGTACCCAAGGATTATATATATGTACTAAATTATCACTGTACCAGGAAAAAAAAAATACGACTATGCAAAAGCTTTTGACTGTGTGGATCACAACAAGCTATGGCTGA